TTGGGGGGCATTATGCGTTGCGGGCTCAGCGGTGATCACTTCCTCGGCAAAACGGGCTGGCATTTTGTTGGCTGTTATGGGACTATTATTCGTGGCACGGTTCCAATCGGAGGTGCTTGGTGTTAGCTGCGCGCTTGGCTCCTCAGAGGCGTCAGGTTGGCGTGAATTTTGTTGCTTTCTTTTGCGACGGCGTCGCCGACGTAGGGCGCCTGCACTCTTCCCGCTATTTTGTACAGGGGGGGTGCAATTGTTGCTATCCTTGACTGCAACAGTTTGCTGATCCACGGCTCTTAACAGCTTCTAGCGACTGCAAAATCCAAAATAGAAATTATTGCCAGTTATCAGTAGCTTTCTACTATATACTTAAGATCACATTAAACATCGGCGAACCACATCTACTAGGATTTTTTTATTAAGTAAGCCTTTTTACCGATCTGATTCATATTTGCGTTGATTTTTTAAGTTGTTTTCTATTTGTTTATGTATTAAACATGACTAAAAAGAATATATTCACAAGCAAACATATCTCACCCTATAAAGTATCTATACTATATATATTCGATCAAGCCATGCCCGATTTCTTTCATTCCGAACGCCTTAAACTCGGAAACAAACTAGAATATATTTATTTAGAATTAAATAGAATCGTGCACAAAAATAATACAAATTCTCTTAAATATTTGTTTTTCCTTTAAACTGTCCCAATGGAATAAAATTGGGAAAGAAAAAAAAAACAGATTAAAGGGTGTCTTATTTAAGGGGAGGCGACTGTAACTACAAGACGTTAAGCTAGTATTTAATCTTAGCTAGTGTTTTTTATTTGTATGTAACTATGACTCACATACGCACACACATATAATAAATATGTGCTTACGTATTTATGTAAGAAAGGTAAATGTATATTATAAACCTTTCTGATTTGATATGGTTTAAATATTCAAGCAGCGCATTTCTAACGTATTTTTTGCACACTGGTGGCTAAATATATAGGTATGGCAAGCAAAGTTAACATTTATGTTAAAATACTGTTAATTTTCTGTTGCTCACGAAAAGCTTTAAATGTTTTCCCTCGAAAGCTAAGTGCCCGCGTAGTTATACGAATTTGTAGCGAGTAATTGAAAATCAGGTGATTTCTGGAGAAGCTGCGCGTGCAACGGTTTTTGCTATCTGCGGTGGCGTGATTAGTGAATGCCTAACAATGTGCGGCAACATTACTTCTTTATGTGTACACGTACACATGCATAAGTATGTATGAATACACATACACATACATATGTACATGGAGATATGCTTTTCTTGGTGTTCTGTGAGCAACCAGTCTAACAGTGCAACAAAAAATATGTTAGCCTAGAAGTTCCATATGCAGGGTCGCAGCTGACGCTCACCCATACTAAAACGTTTGGCACGTTTTACCAATAAAACTCGTACGATGTGCAGAATGAGAGCGGCACAATGAAATAAATGTAAGTCAGTGTAGCTAAACCTAATAGTTCGGCTTGTTTGCGAGAAAGTCCGCACAAGAGCACTTTCAGCAAGCATGCATACATAAAGCATAAGAATAAATGTGAACATACATACATACATAAAAATAGGGAGCGAGAGATAGAGAGAGAGCATGCTAGAGTAAAACAAGAGACGCGCCGGTTTTCGTCGTTATATTGTCCGCCAGCCGGCAACAAATCCATACATACACATACACATACACACACACACACGCACACACATTCACATCAGCATGACGCGTGTTCAAAAGCAATTTGTAGAGAGTGAGATTGGTGGCGTGATTTCCATGTTTGTTTAAGTATTATTTCTGAATTTTTTTTTTTTAGTTTTGGAGACGTCTGATGTTTTATTTGTTATACTGTTTTCGCTTACTTAATGCGACAATAACATATCCTTTTACATTAATTACAGCGTGCATATTGATTTACAGCGTTGCCATCGGACCACCGACAAGAATTGCGTCATTGGATATGTAAACAAAACGTTTCGTTTCTGTTAGCAATAATAGCTGGCCACTGTAAAAGTTGGCACTGTTGCCGACACTTTACGGTAAATTTGTTTTCAAGTTCTGCCACCGCGCACTTAATACTGTTTATTTATATACACACACTTAGGCTATATTTGCACTTATCGATTATTGGGAACCTGCAACTTGTAGTTTTAGTTAGATCAGCTCACCTAAGCCTCTTCTCAGAGTCGTCCGACGCGCGCGCCTCAAGTTCATTGCCAAATGATAAGCGAGAATGGGGTGATTAACTCGAATTGGCTTTGTATACTGATAGCACATCTCCAGACATATTTTGTATATACACATGCGTTTATTTATTTACATACACACCTATGTATGTATGTACATATGTATGTGTGCGTACTTGTGTCCGGACATTTTATGGTCGCGTGCATAAACGTTCGGTTAGCTGAATCAGTTTGCACATATGTACATACATACATACATGTATGTGCGAACGTAGATTGGAAATTTTCCAATCAATTTTGCTTTTGTTTTGTTAGTGTAGAAATCATAGAAATTAACCATCATGTTAATTAGCATGCGAAACCCTAGCAAGTACATTTCTTAATGAAACATTAAGAATGAATCGCAATAACTAGCCTGGGTCTAGAGACTAGAGGCTTTAGTGAATATTTTGGGAACTTTATTATGCAAAAAGCAAGTGCACAGGAATAATGACAGCCCTTCAATTAGACTGGTCATTTAAAAAATGAGGTAATAAATAATTAAAAAAGGCGAATATTCTGAAAGCAAAACGTAAAGTTTACTGCCGACTGATTTATTTCATATTTTGTCAAACATATCCAAAGTATGAAAAATTGTTATTTTCAAGTTCTACCTTTTGTCGGCTTTTAATTTTTGTCTGCAGTTCTGCTATCGTCAATATGTAAACTGGGTAAAAATATGCTCTGTTATTCTCTCTCCTTTCTTGCAGAACTCATTTCTCCCACACATGTACATATGTGTGTACGTAAATATCGTTGTGAGTGTATGTGTGCATGCACGGACACATCCATATGCTTGTTGTATGAATGTATGCATGCGGAATACATACCTAAAAATCAGGCGATTCCTCGACAGCTGTTTTCTTAGGCTATAGCAACAGCTTTCCCGGGCTATGCGAATGACAAGAGTTAGCGGTTTTGTATCTGGGTAGCCTCTGTGATATTAAATCAGCCGTTGAGATCAGAGCCAGAAAAGTAATTGTTTTGATTTAATTTGTTCACTTCAAGCACATTTCTTAACAACTGCGTATTTTGTGTTTTATTTATTCTTCCAGCTTAATATTTTACACACTTGGATGAATGCAATTGATGCAAAACACTTGTAACGGCGAATCGGCTTATGGTTAAAACCTCCGTAAACTCTTGCGCGATCTAACGACGAAATGTGAATTACAAATAGTCGCGGCATCAGGTGAGCAGTGGCTTTTATACGACGGCAGGGCTTCTGTTGGTGCCGAAAAAGCTTGTCTTTTGTGCGCAGTGAGAGCAAGAGAGTAAGCAGCAGCAATAAGCGAGATAAGCACAAAAAGCTCTTTGCTCCCTGTTAACCTTTCATTGCAGGGCGGCTGCGTCTGCTGTTATGCTATTGGACTGTTGTTGATGCGGGCTCTGCAAAAACGATGCCCTTCATAACATTTTATACAGCGTTAATTTTTTCTTAATTATTGCGAGCTTTTGATGTGTTATACTTGAAAATGGGCAGACATCAGAATCACACCACTTTTTTTTTTTTTTTTCTTCAAATTCATGCGTATGTATATACGCATGTACATATATCTCTATATATGTATGTATATAAGATTTATAATAAAACTGTTTGTCCTGACTGACTGACTGACTGACTGACTGATTGGTGATCAACGCGCAGCCCAGATCGTAAGAGCTGGCAAGCTGACAGTTCAACTGTAGACACGTTACGTGATAAAGGTGCACGTTCAGGTGGCGTTTCGGGAAATTCGTGACAAATCGCGAAAACCGATTTTATGTAACTTTTTTGTTTACCATCCGCTCGGCATGAAACTTATTAAGGATTTAAGGATCTTTGGTCACACTTTTCGAGAAATGCATTCCTCCTTTGTGAAATTTGGCATCTAAATCTGGCAACATTTTTCTTGGTCGAAATTCATGCAAAAATGGTACTCTCAAATATTCATTCATTCATGCATTCAAATCGCGCGCTCTTTGTCTGCCATTTTTTTTCACAGACCGTTTGTCGGCTGGAGCAGCTCTTGGAGTTGCAGCCTTGGATTTCGGATGAGAACGTTCGCCAGAGTTGTCAAAATAACAGCACGTAAAGCGGGCGTAAGTGTGTGTGTGTGTGTGCGGACGTGTGTATGCGTGTGTCGGCGCAGCCATTTACGCACACACACAAACATTGAGATGCCTGTCGGCGTGTGTCTGCAAATGCAGTTTAATGGATTTTGACGCGCACACTTAAACACAACACAACACAGGCACAATACAAACACACACACACACACACACACACACACACACACACACACACACACACACACACACACATGCACACTTACAGCAACAATAGCAACAAGCATGTGAAATTTAATCTTCAAAAGCAATCATGCCGAAAATTTGGCATAACTGGGTCAAATCTCATCCGATTTTCAAAAGGTTTGTCTCTTTTATTATGGTTTGGCCTCTAGATCAATTTGGCATCTAAATCTGGCGACATAATTCTTGGTCGAAATTCATGTAAAAATGGTACCCTCAAATAATCTATATAGACAGACGTAGGTCAAAATTTCTCACCCTCATAACTAGGTCAAATCTCATCCGATTTTCGTAAGGTATGTCTCTTTTATCATGGTTTGGCCTCTAGAACAATTTAGCATCTAGATCTGCCAACATTTTTCTTGTTTTTAGGTTTTGTCCGATTTGCTTCAAACTTATATTCAAAGCTTTACGAACCAAAGACTTATTTTTATGAATTATTGCATACGTGTTGGTATATATGTAAATAAAAAAGTATACTCGTATGTTAAATGGTGCTCTGTTAAAAGGGCTTTTATTAGTAATGTTATTGAAATGCACTCAATTATGTAAGTATGTATCATAATATTAACTTATTTCTTATCAGAACAATGTTAACAGTTTTGTATATATGTGTAGGTCATACAGAGACAGGTTGAGCATTGAATCATCAAAGAAATAAAAAAAAGCTAATACAAAATTACAAATTAAACAAAATTAATTAAAAATAATGTATTTAAGTAAAATTATTATTATTAAATAAATGACGCAACTAAGACGAGTGTTTGTGTAAAACACGTTCCATAATTTTTAACGTTTGGGCCTCCTTGAGAAATGTCCTATGGGTGCCTGCTACAACATGCATATCGATCGGAGCGCTGCAAATCTACAGAGTATGTTAGTTAACATATTTTTGCTTATTTCAATTTTATATCTTATTACCTCTCTGAGACCGTAGTCATCCTGAGTCATAATTGCATTGTGCTCTGCTGATTTTATGAGTACCACGTCGCTGTTAAGCTGCTTTGCACCCTTATAGCTCTCTGATAGAAGAAGCTTTTGCTGAAACATACAGGCAGCTTTCTTGATCTGTGAATATATTTGACAACAATTAATAATTATTGTGGGTCTAGCTGATCTTATCGATGTTATGTTATGCTTTGATATGCTAGAAATTCCTTAGAACTCCTTAGAAATTATATGTTTAGAATTTCAAGACTCTATCTTTCGTAGTTTCCAATCTAATCTCATTTCTCATTATTGATGCTGAGCAAGAATATATATACTTTATGGGGTCGGTCTCCTGCCTGTTACATACCTATGGGGAAAATCATTGAACTCCCTTCACTCACTTTCTATGAGTGTAGGGTATTCAAATAAGGAATGGCTTTTAATCCATTTACAGAGGTCTACCCCACTGAAAGTTGGGCGAAAAAAGTTGATTGATAATTGGAAAAGTTATTTTTAAAATTGGTAGCAAATATAAATTGTTAAAACATCCCATTTTGTATATTAACTTATTTTCATTATATATTTTTTATAGAGGTGACTTACCACATCCTTGGTCTGTTGAGTATGCGATGCTAGGGTATCCGCAAGTTTGTTTAGCTTCAGATTCCACGTCTTCACACCCTCGAGAATCCGTAGCAACTGTAAGAGTTAGGCATTAGAGAAATATTTCGAATGGAGCGAGCATGATGAATGTTCACCCACCTGGTTGTAGTCCACATCCGCTAGCAGTGCCCCAAAGTAGGCCAACGTCATGGATTGCTGGCGGTTCAAGTCATCCGTCTGCTTTTTGGCCTCCTGCACGTAGCCGCTCGCCATGGTCGGAGCTCCGTCGAGCATGATGACCTTAACGCTAAATCGACGCTGTTCTAACGCCACGCCGATTGCGTGTGCCAGAAGGCAGCCGTATGAGTATCCGACAATGTTGTAGGGTCCACGGGGCTGTAGCTTTTGTATTTGCTGCAAATAGTAGGCGGCGCAAGCTTCAATTGAGTCCAGCGGCACCTGCTCGGTGCACTGCAGACCGTAGGCTGGGCAGGTGAGTGAGGCGGCAAGTGCTTCGACAGCTATGGTGAATCCTTCGATGGGCGCAAGGAAAAACGCAGCGGGCTCTTTGCTGGCGATTGTCGCCTTGGAATGCAGGCGCACGAGCACGTCCTGGGGTAATACTTCCTTGGCGAATACCTGGCGTGTTTCATCGGTTTGAGCAATTGTCGTCCGGCCCATAATATTGGCACCGTTCACCGATGTCGGCTCTATAACTGAATCGGACCGCGGGGCAGTCACCTGTGCTTCTCGGGCATCAATGTTCTTAAGTGCACTAAAGGTTAGCTGGCGAATTTCCTGAGCTGACAAGACCAGATCGAAATTTCTCTCCAGTGTCTGCTTGATCTCAGTGCTCATAAGCGAGTCCATGCCCAGGTCAAAGAGTGTTGTCTTATCCTGAATTGAGTTCACATCACGCAGGCCCATTATGTTGGCTATGGTGGAGATAAGGCTCTGGCGACTCGACTGCTCCGGCTTGCGTTTCTCGGCCAGCACCATGGACGCCAATACAGGATGGGGCTGTTGCATGAAGATATCCAAGGTCTGCAGGCAGCTGCTCATGCGCTGAGGCAGAGTTCCGCCAATGACGGTGTCATTGTTGCCCATGTGCTCAATGATGAGGCCCGTGTCCCCAATAGCGCCCCACTGTATTGCGATGCCGGGATAGCCGTCAGCTTGGCGTAGTTCACAGATGCGTTCCATGGCCGAGTTAGCCAGACCGTAGTTAGTCTGACCCGGGTTGCCACGTCCAGAGGCCAAGCTTGAAAAGCAAATAAAGTGTTCCAGCGCTGGGCACATGCGGCGCGAGCATTGGTCCAGATGCATTGTGGTTAGGATTTTGGGTGCTGTCACCAACTCAAAGTTTTTCACCGTTTGTTCTTCGAAAATCGCGTCCTTTAGTATTGCAGCCAGGTTGAATATGCCGCCGACCAGTGCCAAATTGTTGCTACTCTCCAGCATCTTTATGCAGCCTATAGCAGACGTCACGTCGTTGATATCGACGATTACCTGGACTCCTCGTTCGTGCAAGCGTCGGATCATCAGACTTTGGTAGCCGGTCTTAAGGCCTGAATGCGAATTCAAGACAATGTAGCGTGCTCCACGAGTTGCCAGCCAGTTGGCCAGCTCCAGACCGAAGCCGCCCAAGCCGCCGACAATGATATAGCTTTTCTCCGGATGCATATAGGTGCGGGGTATGGCATTGGTTAGACGCGGCTTGGGCAGCGCCGATTGTTGCTCTTCGTTGCGCACCTTGATGACCACCTTGCCGATGTGTTTGCCCGATGCCATGAACCGAAAGGCCTTCTCGATCTCCTGGTCTGTGTAGACAGTGGTGGGCAGTGGCAATACAGCCCCGTTCCTGATGCCCTCCGTAACGAGCGAGACGATATGCTTCTGCATTTCTTCTTCACCCTCCATGACGCTGTCTAGCAGAATGCCGTGAAAGGATGTATTTTTTAAAAATACCGACATGCCTAGAGGATTGTTATTGCTCAGATCGAATTTGCCAATTTCCAGAAAGCGTCCGTTGAGACCCAAGCAGCGGATAGATGCCTGCAGCTTCTCCTCGGACAGGGAGTTAAGGATCAGCTCGACGCCCTCTCCATTGGTTTCACTTAAAATCATTTGCTCGAACGATGTGTCACGTGAATTGCCAATGTTACGTGCCTGCAGCTTGGGAAAGCGCTTCAGTAAAAATTCACGTTTCTCCTTGCTGCCGACCGTGGTGAAGACCGTCAGCCCGTGGTGTAGGGCCACAGAAATGGCAGCCTGGCCCACACCGCCAGAGCCGGCATGGATAAGGATGCGCTCACCCTTCCTCATTTGCCCACGCACGACAAGGGCATAGTAGACGGTAGCGTAGACACAGGGCACCGTGGAGGCCTCCTCCATGGTCCAGTTGTCGGGTATATCCCAGAGAAGATTCTTGTTGGCCAAACAGTTGGTGGCCAAGGACTTGGCTGGCACCATGGCCATGATGCGGCGACCAGTTGAGTCACGTCCGGCAAACTCTAGACCCAAAACGCAATCCTGGTGTGCCAAATCAGCTGGCAACGCATCTTGACCAAGTTTTCCCGATGCCAACATCACGTCACGAAAGTTCAAAGGTGCGAAATAGACTGTGCAGGGCTCCCATTTGTTGAGGTTCACATTCGTGTTCCGTGGGCTTTCGATCCATTTCAGCGACGAAAGATCGCCCTTGATCAGCGTATTGACATAGGCTTGCTCCACAGTCAGCAGCGGCTGATGTGTGTTAAGTGGCAAATGCCGAAAGCTACCCCAATTACCATTCCGGTAAACATTGACGGACAGGTCTTTGGCAATTTGTTCGGCAAAGGACGTGCCCGTCAGCGAGAATACGGGCAATTCCGGGTCCTGCAGCAAATAAAGTCGAATTCGGTAGCCGATCTGCTCGCGTTTTAGGCAGTTTATAAAACCCAAAGCACCGGTATGTGGCTCCCCCTGTGCCACCAAGTAAACGTTACTCCCCTCGGATTGTGACTTCAATAGCGCGGCTTTCAGATCCGTGACCCACTTGAACTGATTATTGGATATGCGGATAACCAGCGAAGCTGTGAAGTCCTTGACGGCTAACTTTCTAGCTAGGATCAGGGTGCGATCCGTGTCGTAGACTTGTTCCATAACCGGCAATAGGTTTAGACGCTGCAACAGAGCCTGTCCTGTGCTTCTGTAGGCACTTAAACTCTCTTCCAGCAGCAGAAAGCCAGTCTCCGGCTTTAGGGTGTCAATGCAGTGTTGCAGTTGCAGATCTCTTAGGGTGCATTCTGTCGAGAGCAAGTCAACGGCATGCACAAAGTCGCACTGGCATTCCACGGCCGCTTTCGCAGGATCCGCAACAATAACGCGAACTCCCGAGTCCTGCAACAATGCGTTCAGTACGGACTCGTTGCTGTTGCTGTTTGTGGCTACGGCTATATCGCCCACCAAAATAGGCTCGCTCTCAATAAGCTCCAGAAGTTTGACGGCATTGAGACCTTCCGTACGTGTGCCAGCCAGCTCGACTCCCTTGATTTTGACTGCTCCTCCGCTGTTCTCGATGATCAGCTGCATGGCCACGGTAAGGGCAATGTGCTTGGAACGATGCTGATCCCCGCGTGGATCCAAGTGCTGCATGTGTGGAGTAAAGTTGTAGCGCTCCAGAACGGGCGGACTCTGGCCACCGGCGCGACGTTGGGTCTGTGCAGTCTTTATCTTGTGTACCTCGACACCGCCGCACTTGACAACCGAAATGTTGCGATGGAATGAGACCGGCAGCTTTTGCTGTTGCTGCTTGGCCAGCTCCAAGTGCTTAACCGGATCGATAACGACGCGCTCAATGCCCGTTGGCACGTACAATTCGCGCATGCTGTTGCTGAGTATGCGGAACTGCAGCATGGTGTCCATGAAGCTAATCCAATTGTCGGCCCACAAAAGGCGGCCCGCAACTCCTGAATTGTCAACGTCGACAATGCCCTGAAAGATGCCGCCATAATCATAGCCCCGCAAGCGCAACTCCTTGTAGACATCCTTGGTGCAGAGCTTGGCCACGCCAGCGCTGCCTGGCAGTCCAGGCAGATTGAGCTGTAGCTCCTGCACGTTGGCAACGAGCTTTATTTTTCCCGATGCTACCAGACTGCTGCCTTCACAGATCTCAAAGGTGCCGCTGCCTTGGAAGTAGTTAACGGCCAACCGGACTGCTGATCCGACGTCCAGGCCGAGAATCGTGGCGCGGTGAAAGACGACATCTTCAAAAACCACAGGCGTACGCTGAAAGTCACAGCCCTTCTGTTGGGCCAACATTATCCAGGCCAGTGTTAAGTATCCCGTAGCCGGATAGAGTATGCGACCATCAATCTTGTGCCCGGCCAAGAAGGCGTGCTCCTCCTTACTCAGATCCAGTTCAACGGACAGCTGGCTTGTCTGTCGGCCGCCCTGAAACTTTGGGTAGCTCCATTTCTGTGTGTGATCCCAGCCGATTAGCGAGCTCAGCATGGGCGTGCCCCGAGAGACGGGATAGCTAATTGTTTGCGATAGCGACAAGCCCAGCAGCTGTGGCTGACCGCCAGCTGCATAAAGCTGGCCAATCTGGCTTAGTAGGTACTCGGAATTGTTTGGATGACCCCGTTGCATGAGGCTCACATAGCTTATTTTCGGTCCCAACGCGCGCAATATGGATCGGAACAGTCCATGGGGCGCAATCTCCACAACCAGCGCGTTCTTGGGTATATGGCAAATAGCTTCATGGAAAAGCACTGGCGAAATCAGGTTGTTGATGAAATACGTCGCAGAGGCCATGCGGCAAGCGGGCGTTTGCCAGTCGCGCTCCGGCACGCTGGTGCTCAGCCAACGATGCGTGCGCAGCTTGGGATCTGTGATCAGTCGCTCCAGATTTTTGCGCAATACTGGTGCAGCATCCGCGATATATCTGCTGTGAAAAGCGTAACCGCCGGACTCGACGGCCCGCACAAACACACCCGAGGCATTCAATTTTTGTATGGTCGCATCCATGCTGGCCACGGGTCCCGACACCGTGCAATTGTTGTCGCTGTTGTGGCACACGGGATAACAGTCCGGCGGCAGATGGCTGCCAATTTCATCCCAGCTCAGTCCCACGGCTGCCATTTTGCCCTGCGGCAGACCTGGCGTCTCCAAGATGCTCTTACCGCGCCAATAGGCAGCCAGAACCGTTTGCTCGGCCGTCAGGCAGCCGTCCATATAGGCTGCGCCCAGCTCGCCAGCCGAGTGTCCAATAATGCCATCCGCCTTAATGTCCAGCGTCTTGAGCAGATCCGTCAATGCCACTTGCACGGCTGCGATTGACACAAAGGAGTTTAGCATATTGTCGAATGTGCTCTCTGTTGAGTGAGTGAGAACCTCGATCAGGTCAAAGTCCATTTGGGTAAGCACCTGTGCAATCGATTAATTGGGCAAAGAATTCCATTAATGACTTGGTTAATGATCTTAAGTATTTCCCAATCCCAATCACGTTAGCTTTCTTTATGGCTATATCAACTCATTAAGAATTCATATTTAATAATATAAATAATAAATTTTTGTAAAGGTCCACTTTTTTCTATTATATCTTAGCTTACGAATATTCCCTGGCTGTTGTATCAAAATCGTTTGAGAATCGCATAGAAGCCCCACAAGCCACGGAGAATTGTTTATACATTTAAATATCGAATTGCAGTGCTTTGTGTGACTGTTTTTGAAATGGCTGAGATTGAAAGACATAGGGAAAATGTACGATCCCTTGAAATATATAGTATATTCTTTATCCGGATAAGAAATTGTGTCAAAAGCTCGCTGCAATTCCACAATATCCATGAAAAATACATTTTCAGTTTTGGTTTTCAAGAAATAACTCGCAACTAAAGAGAATGCAAAGAAATACTATTTGTTTTTTGACTTACCTCAGCACAATATTGAATGGACTTGTTGAAGACCTCAATTTGCATCAGATCCTTGGCCATGCTGGCCCACTGGCTGCCCATGCCGGCGTAGACAAACCAAATGGGTCGCCTTTCCTCCTCGTAAAGGCAGATCTCCTGTTTGACTGGGCCCGCCGAGCCGAGCAGCGAGAAGCCACGATAGGGATGCAAGGGAATGGGCTTCAAATGGATGTCGTTCATCAGCGCCAGGAACTCATCATCGTTGCGATGCTTTGTGGCCGCGTCCAGGAGCTGATGCACCGCCTGTTCGGTGCGTCCGGAGCAAATGACAAGCTTAAATGGGGTTTTGTGTGGCTTTGGGCAGGGCTTCTTGTGCTTTTCGTGTGATTTGAGTATGACATGGGCATTGGCGCCGCCGAAGCCAAACGAATTGAGGCCCACAATGCCGCCCTGCCAGGGCAGGTTGCGATCCATAACTTTGAGTCGACCCTCGACCAGAGCCGGCACAGCCGGATTGGGATTGTGATAGTGCAAATTTCTGGGTATTATGCCCTCCTCCATGGCAATGATTACTTTAGCCAGCGCACTAACGCCCGACGCCGGCTCTGCGTGGCCCATATTGGATTTCACGGATCCAATCAGCAGTGGACCGGGCCGCGCCGGGTGACAGAAAAAGTTGCTTAGCATATTGGCCTCCTGGTCGTCGCCCACGGGCGTGCCACTGCCATGTGCCTCGACATAGACCACCTTGTCGGGGCTGAGGCCAATCTCGCTGTACGTCTCCTGCAGCAGCTGCTGCTGCATTCGACCGTCCGGAAAGGTGACGCCCTGCTCCTTGAAGCCATCCGTATTGGTGCGCACATTCAGTATCGATGCATACAAGCGCTTCGCCTGCGCTCGACGCTGCAGAAACACCACGGCACAGGTGTCGGCACGGGCATATCCATTGGCGCCCGCATCAAATGTCTTACAGGAGCCATCCTGGCTAACGATGCCCAGGCGCAGGAACTGCAAGGCGAATATGGGCTTCAGGATGAGATTGACGCCGGCAACCAAAGCGTAATCACAGCGGCCCGACCGCATATCCGTATACGCGTGCGATAGGGCCACAAGTGAGCTGGAGCAGGCGGTGTCGACTATGAAGCTGGGTCCTTTGAAGTCGAAGGTGTAGGATATGCGGTTGGCGAACATGGCCCGGGCACAGCCTGTCAGGCAGTAGCCATTTATGCTGCTCGGCTCCATGTTGGGTATCTCGTGCTCCGTCTCCACAAAGGACAGGCCTATGTAGACGCCGGTGCGAGTGCCGCGCAGCTCGGATGGATTGATGCCAGCATCAATGATGGCCTCGTGTGTCAGCTCCAGTAGCATTCGCATACACGGATCCATTAGTTCCGCCTGTTTCTGGTGTACGCTGAAAAATTTGTCATCAAATTTTTCCAAATCCTCGTCCCGCATCTTGGCCATGCGCTCGGGTAAGCCATATATGCCTGCCGTCCGTAAATAAAGCATTGCAGTTAAACAAGTATGTATATATTAGATATATTCTTATAAGAATCTAATTGCGTACCTGCCTCCCAGCGTCTCGGATCGTCTGTTACCATATCAATACCATTGAGTAAGTTATGCTTGAACTCTTCTATGTTGCTGCTCTCCGGAAATTTGCCAGATATTCCTGAGATGACTATTTCACCCTCGTCACCGACAGCCTCATTGTTCTGTGTCTTCAATAGTTCTTCCTTTTTCTTGCTACCCATTTTATATAGTTGGTTCAGTGTCAGATTGGTTCGGCTTTAATCTGTCTATGGTATGGTATCAATATATTATGAATCTATATAAATATATTAATAATAGTATATAAATAACAACAGGGTTAAACAACTATAGCTTAGTGTACATGGCAAGCAGATACCCTGTTTCCAGTTCATGTTTTCCCCCTATTACTATATGGACTAGCTGATATTTGCCAGCATTAGCCGTGCCGAAATGTGCAACTCCACAATAGAATATTTTGGACTGGGACAAATCCATTTTTTCAAGATCTTTGCGGAAGAGCTTAGCCCCAAAATTTCGCCCAACTAAAAGCGATGGATTTTGCGAAAAGTGTAAAAAACGAAATGGTAAATAAAAAAAAACTTTAATAGAACTGTTTTCCGCTTATTTACCACAGCTCCAGGTGGAAATTTCCTTAAAGCAATTTTGAAGAAAATTCCATTTTCCACCCAGGGGAGTGGATTTTGCGAAATGTGTGAAATAACTCCCAAATGAAATGGTACGGCCACGCTATATAATACTGTTGCCATAGGAATGATCGGTCGAAAAGTAGTATAACTTTTTTGTTCTTCAATTGGGCTCTCGACACAAAAGTCTTAGGCATATCGGACAATATCATAGAGCTGGTATGGGAAGAGCTCAATGGATAATCAAAATGCCTAGACCCAACTCGGTATATTCAATTCAATATACTCTTTCAAATCGGATCAAGATCAAAGCTGAGCTTAAAAATTGAAAAATGTTCAACATTAGCAGTTTGTACATGGTTTTCCTTCCTCATGGAGAATGCGAGAAGCTTACTTACGGCGCGCGTGTCTAGGTTTCTTTTGGGGCTATGCTTAAGGTCGAGCTGGGTACAAGGTATTCCTAGTCGGGCACATTCGCTCGGATCACTTGTTTACATAAAGTATATATATATATAGATATAGATATAGATATGTGTGTGGTTTGCTGCTGCATGTAACACATTTGCACATTAAAGCATTAAACCTTTTTATCCGATTTGCAATTAAATATGCGACAAGCTCGAATTCAGTTCAAAGTCCAATGGTCACTTTAGTACATTTGGGAACAGGCCACCAGCAAATGAGACTCTCGACCCGCTGCTCTTGACACTCACGAATTAGTTATATAAGAATTCCGGCACAGGTGTGTTGCACTGTCTCACTTATGCCTTGGCTTTTGATTCACGTTCAGTTTTACAATTGTTTAATAAATGCACCGTGTATCCTTAAAGAGAGACTGTCACTTATTTATCCAGCTATATTCACGGTTTGCTATCGCTCCGACCTGATCCGCAGACACACTGAACGCGACGCGCACTCCGCGCATTCTTTTTATGGCGTCCGTTGTCCATTGGAGAATTCTAATGTCGCATAAATAATCGCCTATATCCATACTTAATACTAAGCCATTTCCCTTGCCCAGCCAAGCTGTGCGCTGTCATCTACTGAATAATGCATTATGCTAAGTATACGATACAACACACAGAAATTGCGACGCACACCAGGAACCAGGACAGGTGCGTAGATATGTGTGCGTGTGTGTGTGCGTGCCCTGTTAATTAGTCGCAAGTGTGTCGATGCCATGTTGACCCAGTTGCCAGCCAAGTCCCATTTAAATATAACAATAACCAAATGTCTGACTAAATGTTCAACTTTAATAACGGCGACTGCGAGTTCCGGCCAACTGGCGATCCGTCGGCTTGCGTGCGTTAGTTTTGCGCTTTTTTGCGGTTCGACCCTTTTTGCCGGCATTCGGTCGGCCACGTTTGCATTTGAACCCAGTTGCTGGTTGACCCTTTGCTCGAGCCTTGACGTGGCTCTTTTGCTTGCTTACGGCACTTCGAGAGTCCTTCAACTAGACGACATATATTATATATATATATAGTATTTTGCGTACACTTACTGTTTTGGCCAGGCGCTTGATGACCTGCCGACCCTGCTCCGGCGACACCAGTTCCTTGGCCTTCGCAGCCTGCGCCTGCGGCGGCTTGTTGTCGTTCCGGTTGCGGAAGTTGAAGGGCATGCGCACACGCTTATCGCTCAGCAGGAGCAGGCCGAGATTCATGCCCAGCTCCACCGAGAACTCGACAGCTCGCTTGAGATTGCCAAAAGGACTAATGATATCGTCCATTACCACATCCTGTATCTGTTCGCACAGCGCGTCTATAGATGTGCCTGAATAGAGTTTTTGGCAATGATTATATTGATAACCCTAAATCCATGTGCTAGTTCTTTAACCTCATTTAACTCGTCCTAATCCTGGCCAGCAGATACTCACATAAATCCGGCTGACGACTCAGCAGGTCCAGCACGTACGGCAGCAGGGATGTAGTATTAATTTCCATTTAAAATTTAAATACACGTACTTATAAAATGTATATTATTATTTTTCACAAGAGTATTTACAAATGTTTGATAATTTACCTCGTTGTGTGTATACCTACTGATATTCAAATAATTCTCAAGGGTTGCTGAAACTGAAATTTCATTCTTCTTACCAACCAATATACCCGTTTTAGCCATTTTCAATGGGTATCAAGACAAAAGCTGCGCTATTTATGGCAAACCATGGGCAATTATTTCTTGAATATTTACTGCATATATTTGTCCTGAGATCAACTGACATACCTAGGGAAATGGGATTATAAAAATATGGGAATATTATATAATATGGGAATATAATTAGAAACATCTGCAAACCCCTAAGCTTTATGTGCATACTTGATAAAGAATGGGCTGAGACTTTCTAGATCGCCCCATCAGCGATAAATATTTATGTTAAGTCAAGGTTGCTTGATCGTGTCTCTATATGTATATATATATAGGTTTTCGTATGCACCTTTGCTTCTAATAATCCTCCCTTCTAGCTCAAATCAAATCCCATTTCGAAGCCATAAAAAAGTATTAAATGTATGTGTGTGTGTGTGTACCGAAAGTACGCTTCAATTTTTATGGATCACGTGATATACTACTTATAAGCTTATAAATAAAAATGTACCTGCTACAAGCTAGGTGCACAGGTATCGTATCAAATATGACAGGTCTGGCATGGGAACAATAACAACGACAGCTTGTTCAAGTATCCGACTGGTAGATACCTTTGCACAGCTTTGGGCTGTCATAAGGGATTTTACGTCAGATATACGAGAATATTTCCGAAATCAGATCTTAGATACATTTTTAGATACGCTCGCGCCAACCATACAACCCCTCTTTCATCCCATTTGTAGGGTATCAAAAAACGAATACAAAATGAGTCGAAACAAAGACGCGTGCTTCATTCGAATATTTCTGAAATCAGCCCGAAAAAGAGAACGAATCATAGATACATTTTCAGAAACGCTCGCGCCAACCATACAACCCCTCTTTCATCCCATTTGTAGGGTATCAAAAAACGAATACAAAATGAGTCGAAGCAAAGACGCGTGCTTCATTCGAATACCTCTGACCGAACGGCTGGCGACGCCGATTGCGCTGGCAACAACAGCAGAGACGCGGATTGCTTTAGACAAGCCTTGACCTTGATTGGGCGATAACCACAAACCGGAGAAAATCCAGCGACACACGACTTCTCAACATGAGAACAATGTGATTAGGCCGCATTCCACCCATCCCATTCCCCTGCCCATGCCCATTTCCAGTGCCAGTTCCATTCTCATGCCCGGCAGCAGCTTTTGGTGATAACTGATAACGTTTCGATTGGTTAGTCAAGCTGGCGCGTACGGAAATTTACTCTAAACCCAATTGTGTGTCACGCGCCAAATAAACCAGAGAGAGAGAGCGAGAGAGAGAGAGACAGAGAGAGTATATGGGAAGCAGTCTATGTGCTTCAGGCGGATTTCGGCTACTATCAATTGTTGTTTTTATTTTGATTGAAATCACGCATACGTCCAGTTGACCTTGGAGATGCAGCCTGCTGCTGATAACAGCGCCGGACAACGCCGCCGCAGCTGTCAGGCTTTTCACGGTTACTTAAAGGTGAGCTAAATTATAGGTGCTGGCGACGTCAGTGGCTTAACAGTTCAACCTCAAGCCAGCTGATGCGATGCAAATACAAGCGCAGCAAGCAAAAAAAACAGTTGCGTCACATCGAGCTGTTCAAAGTTTCCAGCCTTAAGGCTTATAATTCAAATATTTTGTAACAAGTTTAATATTCGTTAAAGTTAAATAATCAAACTAAATAAGCATCAAACATTGTATCGCTTAGTAGCATATACTAAATGTTCAACTATTTTTAAACAAGTTTAATATTTGTTTAAACCAAAAACATAGTAAAAAACAAGTAAGAGGTTCTAGTCGGTAGCTTCCGACTCGCTTCTTCCAATATCAAATGCATATATATATTCTATTTTAGAAGCTATATGTCAAGTTTGGTGACTCTAGCTCCTGTTATTTATCAAAATTGCCCAAAAAACAGGATATCGATATCGATAACGGTTTTTATCGATTGCTTGGCAACGGAGTAAGTTATCGATTATCGGAAACATACTCGATCTGCGCGGGAACTGGGAGCACCTACATCTAACATTTCTAGTCTCTAGCTTTTATAGTTTCTGAGATCCTTCATACATACGGACAGACGGACAGAGAGACGGACAGACAGACAGACGGACATGGCTAGATCGACTCGGCGATTGATGCTGATCAAGAATATATATACTTTATGGGTTCGGAGATGCTTCCTTCTGCCTGTTACATACATTTGGATTTTGCACAAGTACAATATACCCTTTTTACCCATTTCTTAATAAGTTTAGACTATAAAAAAACATAGTATCTTATAGTATCTCATAGTATCATATTCTTAGTTTTCAAATATTTGTTAAAAAGTTTAAGGAAAGTTAGCTTTGTGGACTGTGTTTGTTTAATTGTATTTGGTTTTTGTTTGTGCTTCCTTTTTTGTTCGAAATACTTGCTAATGGGAAAATAAAGTTTTGTTTTATATAAATCGGTGTCTGAAATTAAAACAAATGAGCTTCAGGCATGCTACTTTTCATTTTCTATATACATATGTATGTACATATATGGTATGCACATAAGTTCACGCGCATATATTTATTTTAATCGATTCGATTCGATTCGATTTGACGACTGAAAAATACCAGGCCAGAGTTGCGTATTTGGGTTCAACTTATAAATTAAAACCTCGATTTTTAGATAATTGCGTTTCATTAGTTACAAGTACTTTCTATATATGTATTAGCCCAGACAGTCCAGGCTGCCTTCTATCCATGGAACCTATCTAGGGAAGGCGTCAAATGCTCAAAAGGCGTTCTTTTTCGAAATGATTGTACTTAATATAAGTATATATATATATTCATTTTAGCGACCTGTCTCGGCTTCTGACGTTTGTTTGTTTTGATTTTATTTGAATGTGTTTAGGTCTATCTCTTCTGTTTTCACGCGTTTTCTGTTTTCACGCGTTCCAAAGTATTTTGTGCGAAATCTCTTTTTGAGCTGAACTAAACTGTATCTGGCAATTAGGCTGCTTGAAATTTTTACTCGACATTCTATCTTCGGCACGCCGAAGATCTAATACCCTTTCAGACCGAAGGGTCTGCTTTGCCCGTAGCTAAGCAGCACAGGGAAAATAGTTAATGCCGAATTTGGTCAAGATATCTAGATAAAAAAAAAAGCCTAGTTTTCCACCGATCGTTCCTATGGCAGCTATACGATATAGTGGTCCGATCCAGCTAGTGCTGATTAGTGTGCTGCGTGCAACTGAAAGAGGGACTTCTGCAAAGTTTCATAAAGATAAATGAGACTCAAGTTCGCATAGAAACATGCAGACGGACAGACGGACATATTGACTCGGCTCTTGATACGGATCTAGAATATATATACTTTATGGAGTTGCAGATGTCTCCTTCAATGCGTTACACATTTCACGACAAATTTATAATGCCCTCTGCAAGGGCATTAAAAATTGCCTCATGCAACGCAAATGTTGATTTTTCAGATTTTCCAAAAGTTTTCATTCATTTTGATAGCCCGACTAGCAGATACCCTAAGCCCAGTGCCAAGCTATATATATAATACATCAAAGCTATCTTCTTTAAGAACTCATTGAATGAAGGAACAAATATATATGACAAGCTTAGGCTGCCATATTAGCTAGCATTGATCCTGTTAACAATTAAATATATATAACAAAAAATTCTATAGATTCATTAAATGTTTTAGGCAAAAATGTTGCATATCTTGAGGCTGACGCTAATTGTATTTCTTAAGGCAGTTTCTTTGGGCTCTTCAATAAAATTGAGTAAATATTCAAGGGGAAGGGCGAGCATGTGAATGTCAACATCTTATAAAGCGGAATCAGACCTTGCCTTAAACCCAAATCGCTTGAGTAAAAATAAAACAACAATATGAAATTTGTATTTGAAATATATATTTGATGAAATTTTAGACAAACTGATTTTTATAAAAGAAACAATATGAGCACAGGACTTGATTGTCTTTTATTGTTAAGATATTAGTCATCATTTATTATATTAGTCATAAAAAAACAAAAACCTTTGCTTAATATATAAAATTATTTACAAAACAACTATGGAGAGTGTTCTAGGAGTATGCGCTTGGCAAATATAGCTCCGAAAGAAATGACACGAGACCGATTTCATGCAGGGCCTGGACGCATTCGTATTCTCGACATGCACACAATTTGCCGAGTTGTTCAGATTGTTTGGCTCCGCATCGTCGCACCAATGCACATAATTGGGCTTCATGCCGCTGGACATGGAGACGTAGTCGCCTTTTTGGGCGAGATCCGTGAGATCCAGCCAATAGTTTTTCGTGTGCGTCGCATTTCTAACATGAAAACTCATCTCGTGCAGAGTTTGCAATTTGGCCAGGCTTATTAAATGACCGCCAATGCTGTGGCAATCGTGCAGGGCCGTAAACCAGGTGACATATGCCGCATCCGGTATATAATAATATCCGGATGCGAACTGCTTGAACAACGGCTCGGCGTGGTAACCTCTCGGTATGCCCAGGCGACTTGTCGTCATATCTGTTGAATAAGAATGTGAACAATATTACCTGAAAGACATTATTCATTTGAAGCTCACCTGCCATGCGAGTCCATGCCATTGACAAGCCAGTCAACATTTCAAACAGCATCAGGGCAACAGCAACAGTTGTCCGGAACATTGTCAAGCTAACGGAGATTGGTCGTCCGTAGAGTTTGAAATTTCTTTTCATTATGATTTCATTCAGCTACAATTAATTTTGTGGCGTAAGCTGGAAAACCACATTGACGCCTTTTGTGACTAATTTCAAGTAAGATGCTTTCCATATGACGACGATTTAATGCCCTTACCTGCCCTGACAAACCATAGCAAAATTATATCAAATTGTAAGCAGTTTTCTAGATACAAACAAATGCCCAAGTGAATATTTGAGAGGGAGCCTGAACCCAGCCTTAAGCAGACTTTACAAATACTCTAAGTTTCTTTTATACCTAGAGGAGTTTTCTATGGGAGTCTTCTCCCTATTGTAAGCCTTCAACATAGGATATTATCGAATTCGTGGAAATGGAGTTTCAATAATTCGAAATAAACTCGATAAGGCATTTCCCTTAAGTTCAACTTTTCTCCCTATTGTAAGCCTTCAACATAGGATATTATCGAATTCGTGGAAATGGAGTTTCAATAATTCGAAATAAGCTCGATAAGGCATTTCCCTTAGATTGTTATTCTTTAAAGACTTGGCTAACATAGCTAGAAATGTGAGTCTATGTAGGACTACGATAATACGAGTAAGAGAGCATAGTTGTCCAGGAAACTGTCAAGTTTTAACAATATGTCAAATCCTTACATTTTTGATGGATTACTTTGATGCCAGATATATTATATACTGAGCTGATCCAGCTTAAATTGAAAGACAGACTATTCTATATGTATAAATGTGTACGCTGGGTGAAATTTGTAATAAACTTTGTTAGGGTATAAAAACATAGGTGCGTCTGTATTGTTATTAATATCAATTGTATAATACAAAGTCAAATAATTTGTACAGAAAAAGTGAATAAATAAGTACAAATGACGAGTATACCGAGGCGCATATCATTTGAGAGCAACATTAACTGAAAACAATGTTTGATAAAAAGAAGCAGATTAAGTAAGGTTTGCAGAGAGCTAATCAACTTGCTTGGCCTCGTCGCGGTTGCGCTTGAAGGACACGGAGTGTATGAGCAGGGGCGGCAGATTGCCGCGCAGCATTTGCAGGCGCTTGCTCTTGACCTGCTCGGGACGGCGCAGCTCGTCCTTGGACGAGCTGGTGGAGGCGGCCGATGTGGATATGGATGCCAGCGATACGGAGCCGGGCAGCATTTCGGTGCTCTGCGTCAACAGCATGTTGGAGCGCCGGAAGTAGCGTGGCATGGAGTAGTCATCCTGTGAGGCACGCGCCGCATTCGCATTCTGTATGGAGTAAAGGCTTTGCGAGACGCGATACTTTTCGATGGTCGGCGTATCCTCGTAGTTCTTCGGCAGATTGCTGAACGATATGGAGGGCACCTCCGGTGTCATGCTGATTTGGCTGCCCGTGCCCGTAATGGCGAATATGTCCGTCTCGCTGCCGGCGACATTCATGTGCGGCACACTTTTGGCGGAGCGCAGAATCCGTTTGGGATTTGCCGCCAGCCCGGCCACGTTTGGCAGCAGATGCGGATGGCGATCGATTAGACGCGGTCGCAATATCACCTCGTCCAACATATCCTTGTCATCCTCCTTCTCCTCCTCGGCAATGGACTCGAACTTCTTCGGCGTCAGCGTCTGACTGCCCTCCGGCGATGAGTCCGAGGCGGCCAATGTGAAGGTAATGCGCTTCTCGGCAGCTCCGCTTGCCTCCGACTTTGTCGAATCGGTTGCATCCAGCTGCAGACCAGCTGTAAAAAAAAGCAAGTATATTAGTTTACGCAAAATTCTGTAAATTACATTCCAAATATAGCCTAAAGATAAAGACGAACCCATAGATTATAGAGCTAGAGAAATTATTTTTGTCAATAACTTCACAATCTTCTTCTAGTCAGGCCTAGATCAGTTTTACTTGAGGGCAGGAACTATGACATACTTATGCTTATGTAGCCTAGCTCAAAGGATCTTAACCAGATAAGTTGAATTTGTAAAAAGTCGAGTTAAAAGAGGAAAATGAAACTGAATAATACATTTTAACAGAAGGCGCACTGATAATAATTAACATGAAGGCAACGATTATAATTATATTTATTTATTTTTATACAAAAAAGAAACAGAAACAGGAGAAGAAAACAATTCCCATCACATTATCAGCGCACTAATTTTATTGCTGGTTATCAGCGAAGCAAACAAAACAAATAAGAAAAAAAAACTACTCTAGTCGAGAATGACGGCTAGGAGATACCCAGCAATATTTGTTGATTCTATGGCAATGGGAGCAGAAATATATCTATATATACTTATTTTTTAGTTGCAATTTTATTTGCCCTCTCTATGTGTTAATCTGCAGGAAAACGGAGGCACGATCGACTCGCTTCGTCGCCTGATCAAGAATATATATACCATATGAAGTCGGAAAAGACATATATGAAGTCCAAGCTTCGATGGAGGCTTCTTTAGAAGGATTACTGGTCCCCTTAATAAAAGTCGAGCAACTCTTGTCCTTGGTAGGGTTAAAAGGATTAACTTCTCATTAGTATTATTAGCATTATCATTATCATTAGCATTGTCATTATCATTAGTATTATCATTATCATTAGCATTATCATTATAAATATTATAATTATTATTATTATTAGTATTATTATTAATATTATTATCATTATTACCATTATCATTATCACTATCACTATTATTATTGGTATTATTATTATTATTATTAATATTATTATTATTATTATTATTATCATTATTACCATTATCATTATCATCATCATTATTATTATTATTATTTGGTATTATTATTATTATTATTATAAGTTATTATTATTGTTATTATCAAATTCGTTCAAACCCGTTTCGAAATGGGCGCAGGGTAAAAAACTGATTTACGCGCTGCACTTGTATAGACTTGATAGGAACATTCCCGATTACGGTAAAGTTGAACTTATCAGCTGTGGTGAATGTTCGTAAGGTAACTGAAGCAATGCTCTTCAATTTTGATTTCAGCCCTCGTCAATTCATGGTGCAAGTGTTTAGTTTTAAAATTAAATTAATTGATATACACATATAATATAATTTAACACATTGCAAATGGGTCAAATTATATATTTAAATTGTGCAATCAAATTGATTATTCTATATATACGGGAGGCATTCCATCTCTCCGTTTCCTTTGCCGAATATATATTCTTGATCAGGTCCACATCGAGATTGTGTATACTTTCAACAACTGCCCCAACATCGAAGAATATTGTCCTGTTTTCAGCATACAACTTGTGAGCTTTACTTAGGCAGAAGGCTCAACATTTTGGTGGGCAATGTCTTCCTTTTAACACCCTTATAGAGGATATTATAATTATGTCTAGCTCCACAATCCTGTTAAGTTTTATCAGCATTCTACGGATCGAAGGGTTCGCATCGGATAAGTGGGGGCGAGGATTTTGGAAGGAGTTCAAAGAATTATTGCCGATTATCAATGTCATTACTAATAACCAATATTGTTATAGTTGGTTTTCATTATCAATGGTAAATGATGGTGATTTGAAAAATGTAACCAATTAAAATTGGTTCACAACTACTGATTATTTGCTCGATTATCAAAAGGCAAGATAACGGTGAAGTCTAATAAGTATTGGGTTTATTTTTAAGCTTATCTCGCTAAGAAAAACTATTTTAGTAATAAGCAGCTTTTGCATTACATCAAGCCCAATGTGGAAATAACAATCCTAATACCAGAAACAATAATTTTCATAATTCCGAATAATTTTTGCAATATGCGTCAACATTATTGTATATTAACTAAATACGATTATTCAAACCCAGCCATAATAATGAAATCGCAATTTGAATCACAGAAATACATTTTTTCGTCCAGCAATGATTTATGATTTTAACAAAATATAACTAGTTTGCAACAAGCTGGAGTCTGAACAATATCTTCCAAATGTAAGGACATCAAATGAAAATAAACAAATATTATTCTGGCTCCTGACTTGCAGCAGACAGTTCAGCGATTGATGATTGATGACATCCATAACAATGCATTAGTTGCGTTTGAGTAAATGTTTTGGTTTTCATTGCTTTCGTTTTTCATTTTTTCAACATAGATCTAATCAAGTTAAGATTACAAGGTCTAACAAAGTCCATGATTAAATACATAAGACTTACAGGTAGCTAAATGCTAACAATACGATTAAGAATATAACTACTAAACGCTAACTGAAGGTAAATATTATCGTTTCTCACTCATTACTGGTTGATTGGTTGCCTGGTTATCGATGCTTAGGTATAATTAAATATATTAAATGATATTAGGTCACATTTTGTGGTGTAGGTACTAAGTGAAAGTTTTCAATACATATAAGTAAGTATCTTTGGCACTAATACTGCTACCCACAGTTTGGAACTTTTTATGGGCTGTGTTTAACTCAAGTAGAACTTAACCTTCGGCACGCCGCCAGAGACGATGCTACTGCTGCGCGTGCTCTTACCACTCGTTTTGCCACTGGCCCCGCCACTGGCAACAATGTGGGCGTGGCTGTGCCCCTCATTACCTTCCAGGCGCCGCAGCAGGCGCTCCTGTTCGCTGAGACGCGGTGTGGTGGGTGTCTCCTTGTTGGGCGAATGTATGCCCGCCAAGTAGGTCTTCGTGCTGATGCGATTCAGCTTGGTCGGCTGATGGTCCTGAAAGATTTGCGAGTTGGCGAATACCGCCAGTATCTCGGGGCCAAGCATCGGCACATTCGTCTGTGTCACGCGCCGATAATCCTCTTCGTGTATTTTGGCACTGTGCAAAAACGCATTCCAAATTAGAAACAGTTAAATAATACAATTAAACCAATACATATGCAAATGGCAAACATGGCATTTGGCCGAGCGCGGAGCCCTCACCATTTGCCCAGTGTCCGGCAAATCAGATTCGCTGGCAAATGAATCAAAGCGTGCGACTGACCAATTGACAGCCACCAACTAATAAATTAGCAGAAAAAAAAAACTACGCTTGCTCTGGCAATTAGTACCTCATTAGACCCGAGTTGCCGCGTCCCAGCGGCTGATTGCAAATTGGGTGTGGCACGGTCAATAGATGGTTATTGTCCGGGCCCGTGTGCTGTGCGCGGCCAATAATTGTGCCACTCTTCTGGGCCGACAGATACTCCTCATCGTCTTCGGCATTATAGTTGGCTGTGAAGCAATGCAGATTGAAACTGTCAATTAACATTATCCGAAATTAGACTTATTAATAGTTACAGTCTTATAGTTGGCAAATCGAAACTGTTAATTAACATTATCCGAAATTAGCCTTTTTAATGGTTACAACCTTATAGTTGGCAAATAGAAACTGTTATTTAACATTATCCGAAATTAGCCTTATTAACAATTAACATGATGTCTACATTATGTAAGTGTTTGATATCTCTTTAGCCTAATTGATATTTCTTCAGTGCCATACAAGCTGATTTATTTTGCCAATCTATTAAATGATATTTATGTACAACAAATAATTTCAATCGAATCGATTTGCTTGTTTTTTTGTGCACACATTTTAAATGCCAATCACGCCCCGCCCGCCACCTACCGGACACTTCATGCACACTTCGGCAAACACACACACACACACACACGCATATGTACAAGCGTATACTGTCTATGTCTGTCGCATAACTTTACGGCTTAAATACAAAATATACGCACACACGCAAGCAGCTATGTGTATGTATATGTGCATACATATGTACATGGCAACACGTAGGTAAACATGCACCGGCTAGCCCTCAACTCGCCAGCAAAAAGATGAGCCCCCCCCCCCCCCCCCCCCCCCCCCCCCCCTCCTTAAAATGAGAGTGAACAGAAAAGCTAAATGTAAATTGAAACTTACCGATTGATTCATCATAACAAAACCGTTCTTCAAAGCAGTTCCAGTACAAATCTTCCACGCAGCTGAAAGGTGTTTGAGGGTGCGAGGGAAGGGCAAAGAAAATCAAATGTTAGCAGAAAATGTAAAAAAAGAAAAAGCTTGAGATCCGCTTACTTCTGACAACAGCGGCACATTTTCGAAGTGACTGGAACGAACAACTTCAGGCGTAACAGTAACTGAGTTTTATCCCGTTCCCGTTGCGGAATGTTTTCGCTTTGTTTGAGTTATTTCTGCTGCTGCGGCTGATTATGTGTGGCATGAAATAGCAAAGAAAATAACATTTATGTATTGTCGTGGAATGCGTGTGACTCGTCCGAAAGTTGTTTTTGTGGCGCAGCGTGGAGCGTGGAATCAGCTTGACGTTTTATCGGCAACTGAAGTGGTAGTGCCCAAAAGTATCTCGCAGATAGCATAATGGCACCTCGCGCACACTTGTGCACGTTGACAGCGAGAGAGGAAGGGGGGAGAGAGAGAGAGCGCGCGTGCAAGAGAGTGACAGAGAGGGAGAGAGAGAGAGAGGAGTTTTGTAACTGTCGCACCTGTGTGCGTTAATATGGGCTTTGACTTGCTCAACAAAGATCGTGACATACGAAAGCTTTGCTCACAGCTCCAACTCATCCGACATGCACAAATAGACTCCCGCCCGAATCGACATCGAAAGTTTTTAGAGAGAGAGCATTTCGGTCGGTTCGGTCGAATGTGCGCGTTAACGAGTTTGAAAGCACGAGCGAGATCGTAGACTCCACAATGGTAGAGTGCGATTCGAAGCTTACACGCACACGCACACGCAAGCATTCGGGCGGGCGGGTGCTCTTCGTGGCCGAACAAAGGCAATAACAATAATGCGCTCTCTCTCTCTCTCTCCCTCCCTCTCTGTCACCAGCATTTCGCCTGACACCGTGACGCAAAAATGGATATCACAACTAGGAGAGATGACGACTATAAGATACCCTGTATTGTTTTTATATTAAATAACTTTATATTTTTAATAAATAAATAATTGATTGTACGAGGTAGAGGTGAGATTAGCTACGATATTCAGATATGGGCCAAGATTTAACGAAGGCTTTAGTTTTAAAGTATTCGAGGACAAGTATTCATGAACATACGCAATTATATAAACACGGTCGAAATTTCTGTGAATTATGCATGTGGCCCAGCCACAGGTTGGACGGACGTGAATATAATTATAAATGATTGAGGGGATTTGCAAAAATAACGAAACATACTTTTAGGCAGATTTGGGCTTTTGACACAATGTGAATCATTTAATTTACTTCTTATAATTTCCGATATTTCATCGTGGTTTTAGTTTGTCAAATTTAACAGAACAAGACAATTTAACTATTTTCATTATATATCGAGTTTACAAAACATTTTGTGAGCAGAGATATTGTCTTTAGACAGAGACTAGCTTCACGTAATCAAATGGACGAGGGCTTGTTTGTAATTTATTGAATACAATTATTTTCATTTGGAAGCTATAGTAATTATATAGAAGCTATATATATTTATATAGTAGTTATATAGACTCTACAAATGAAAATGAAAAGGATTTAAGGGGTATAATATTTTTGAGCAAATAAATTTAACAGTCAGATGAAAGCTTTAATAGTCTGTCCGTCCGTCCGTCGACCCGTTAGTGCATATGAACATAATCTCGCCATGATCAACGGCTGATCAGTTGATCATGGCGAGATTATGTCGTTTTGAAACGACATATCTCCAGCGGAGGAACCCAGCCGTTGATCATGGCGAGATTATGTCGTTTTAAAACCCCGCAGTTGATCATGGCGAGATTATGTCGTTTTGAAACGACATATCTCCAAGCGGAGGAACCCCGCAGTTGATCATGGCGAGATTATGTCGTTCGCGGAGGAACCCCGCAGTTGATCATGGCGAGATTATGTCGTTTTGAAACGGCATATCTCCAGCGGAGGAACCCCGCAGTTGATCATGGCGAGATTATGTCGTTTTGAAACGACATATCTCCAAGCGGAGGAACCCCGCAGTTGATCATGGCGAGATTATGTCGTTCGCGGAGGAACCCAGCCGTTGATCATGGCGAGATTATGTCGTTTTAAATGGACATATCTCCAAGCGGAGGAACCCCGCAGTTGATCATGGCGAGATTATATCGTTTTGAAACGACATATCTCCAGCGGAGGAACCCCGCAGTTGATCATGGCGAGATTATGTCGTTTTGAAACGACATATCTCCAGCGGAGGAACTCCGCCGTTGATCATGGCGAGATTATGTCGTTCGCGGAGGAACCCCGCAGTTGATCATGGCGAGATTATGTCGTTTTAAAACCCCGCAGTTGATCATGGCGAGATTATGTCGTTTTGAAACGACATATCTCCAGCGGAGGAACCCCGCAGTTGATCATGGCGAGATTATGTCGTTTTGAAACGACATATCTCCAGCGGAGGAACCCAGCCGTTGATCATGGCGAGATTATGTCGTTTTAAAACCCCGCCGTTGATCATGGCGAGATTATGTCGTTTTGAAACAACATATCTCCAAGCGGAGGAACCCCGCAGTTGATCATGGCGAGATTATGTCGTTTTAAAAGGACATATCTCCAAGCGGAGGAACCCCGCAGTTGACCATGGCGAAATTATGTCGTTTTGAAACGACATATCTCCAGCGGAGGAACCCCGCAGTTGATCATGGCGAGATTATGTCGTTCGCGGAGGAACCCCGCAGTTGATCATGGCGAGATTATATCGTTTTGAAACGACATATCTCCAGCGGAGGAACTCCGCCGTTGATCATGGCGAGATTATGTCGTTCGCGGAGGAACCCCGCAGTTGATCATGGCGATATTATGTCGTTTTGAAACGACATATCTCCAGCGGAGGAACCCAGCCGTTGATCATGGCGAGATTATGTCGTTTTAAAACCCCGCAGTTGATCATGGCGAGATTATGTCGTTTTGAAACGACATATCTCCAGCGGAGGAACCCCGCAGTTGATAATGGCGAGATTATGTCGTTCGCGGAGGAACCCAGCCGTGGCGAGATTATGTCGTTCGCGGAGGAACCCTGCAGTTGATCATGGCGAGATTATGTCGTTTTAAAAGGACATATCTCCAAGCGGAGGAACCCCGCAGTTGATCCTGGCGAGATTATGTCGTTTTGAAACGACATATCTCCAGCGGAGGAACCCCGCAGTTGATCATGGCGAGATTATGTCGTTTTAAAAGGACATATCTCCAAGCGGAGGAACCCCGCAGTTGACCATGGCGAAATTATGTCGTTTTGAAACGACATATCTCCAGCGGAGGAACTCCGCCGTTGATCATAATCTCATAACATAATCTCGCCATGATCAACGGCTGGGTTCCTCCGCGAACGACATAATCTCGCCATGATCAACTGCGGGGTTCCTCCGCTGGAGATATGTCGTTTCAAAACGACATAATCTCGCCATGATCAACGGCTGGGTTCCTCCGCGAACGACATAATCTCGCCATGATCAACGGCGGGGTTCCTCCGCTTGGAGATATGTCGTTTCAAAACGACATAATCTCGCCATGATCAACTGCGGGGTTTTAAAACGACATAATCTCGCCATGATCAACTGCGGGGTTTTAAAACGACATAATCTCGCCATGATCAACGGCTGGGTTCCTCCGCTGGAGATATGTCGTTTCAAAACGACATAATCTCGCCATGATCAACTGCGGGGTTCCTCCGCTTGGAGATATGTCGCTTCAAAACGACATAATCTCGCCATGATCAACTGCGGAGTTCCTCCGCTTGGAGATATGTCGTTTCATAACGACATTATCTCGCTATGATCAACTGCGGGGTTTTAAAACGACATAATCTCGCCATGATCAACGGCTGGGTTCCTCCGCTGGAGATATGTCGTTTCAAAAGGACATAATCTCGCCATGATCAACGGCGGGGTTCCTCCGCTTGGAGATATGTCGTTTCAAAACGACATAATCTCGCCATGATCAACTGCGGGGTTCCTCCGCTTGGAGATATGTCGTTTCAAAAGGACATAATCTCGCCATGATCAACGGCGGGGTTCCTCCGCGAACGACATAATATCGCCATGATCAACGGCTGGGTTCCTCCGCTTGGAGATATGTCGTTTCAAAACGACATAATCTCGCCATGATCAACTGCGGGGTTCCTCCGCTTGGAGATATGTCCATTTAAAACGACATAATCTCGCCATGATCAACTGCGGAGTTCCTCCGCTTGGAGATATGTCGTTTCAAAATGACATAATCTCGCCATGATCAACTGCGGGGTTCCTCCGCGAACGACATAATCTCGCCATGATCAACGGCTGGGTTCCTCCGCGAACGACATAATCTCGCCATGATCAACTGCGGGGTTCCTCCGCTGGAGATATGTCGTTTCAAAACGACATAATCTCGCCATGATCAACGGCTGGGTTCCTCCGCGAACGACATAATCTCGCCATGATCAACGGCGGGGTTCCTCCGCTTGGAGATATGTCGTTTCAAAACGACATAATCTCGCCATGATCAACTGCGGGGTTTTAAAACGACATAATCTCGCCATGATCAACTGCGGGGTTTTAAAACGACATAATCTCGCCATGATCAACGGCTGGGTTCCTCCGCTGGAGATATGTCGTTTCAAAACGACATAATCTCGCCATGATCAACTGCGGGGTTCCTCCGCTTGGAGATATGTCGCTTCAAAACGACATAATCTCGCCATGATCAACTGCGGAGTTCCTCCGCTTGGAGATATGTCGTTTCATAACGACATTATCTCGCTATGATCAACTGCGGGGTTTTAAAACGACATAATCTCGCCATGATCAACGGCTGGGTTCCTCCGCTGGAGATATGTCGTTTCAAAACGACATAATCTCGCCATGATCAACTGCGGGGTTCCTCCGCTTGGAGATATGTCGTTTCAAAACGACATAATCTCGCTATGATCAACTGCGGGGTTTTAAAACGACATAATCTCGCCATGATCAACGGCTGGGTTCCTCCGCTGGAGATATGTCGTTTCAAAACGACATAATCTCGCCATGATCAACTGCGGGGTTCCTCCGCTTGGAGATATGTCGCTTCAAAACGACATAATCTCGCCATGATCAACTGCGGAGTTCCTCCGCTTGGAGATATGTCGTTTCATAACGACATTATCTCGCTATGATCAACTGCGGGGTTTTAAAACGACATAATCTCGCCATGATCAACGGCTGGGTTCCTCCGCTGGAGATATGTCGTTTCAAAACGACATAATCTCGCCAGGATCAACTGCGGGGTTCCTCCGCTTGGAGATATGTCGTTTCAAAACGACATAATCTCGCCATGATCAACTGCGGGGTTCCTCCGCTTGGAGATATGTCCTTT